TCCTGCTCCTTCCCCAGAGCCGTCAATGGAACCCAGGAGTCCTGGCTCCCACCCCCGGATAAGGCAGGCAGGCTTGCTGAGCGGGCAGGGCCCTGCCTGGCGCCCTGGCAGAACTGGGCTGCAAACCCCACTCTGCCACAGCCTGCCAGGGCAAACCTGGGCGAGTCCGTCAGCCTCTGCCCCAGCTCTGGGATTGTTACGTGCGGCCGCTAAGAGCTGCGGCGAGGGCCCTGGCTCCGCCGCTGCACAAACCCACTGGAAGCACGGAACTCGCTGCTGCAAGATGGCGCTGGTTGGTCCCCAGGGGCATCTGCGCCCCTGAACCTGCCGTGTGAGGGACACACCGGGAGCCTGTGCAACTCCCTGTCACAAGCTCTCAGCCTCCGCAGCCTGGCAGCGCTGCTGGGCCCCACACCGGCAGCTGAGAGCCACGGGCTCTGCCCCTTCTATGCACCCAAGCCAGACTGGGGTGGGGGTGGGGTGGGGAGGGGAGGGGAGGTTGTCTCTCTTTGTCCCGTTTGCTGTCTGTGTGCATTTGAGTGTGCTCTGCCCCGAGGACCTTACTCTGCCCCCTGCCCCTGTGGGTCTGTGGGGGGAACTCACTTGGACCCCCCACTGCTGATCGCTCCCCGCACCTGAGCCCCCTCCCAGACATAATTGCTCCCCACAGCCCCCTCCCCCCAAGCTCCATGGGCCCCCCACTCTGAGCCCAGTCCACCTGATCCCCACAGGCCCCACACTCTGACCCCTCCCCACCTGAGCCCCACAGCCCCCCCCCACTGAGTCCCCATATCCCCCCCATTCTGACCCCTTCCCACCTGAGCCCCACAGCCCCCCCCACTCTGAGACCCCATAGCCCCCACCTGAGCCCCACAGCCCCCCATTCTGAGACCCCCATAGCCCCCACCTGAGCCCCACAGCCCCCCACTCTGACCCTACAACCTGAGCCCCACCCCATTCTGACCACACTCCACTAGAGCTCCGTGCCCTGCCCTCCCCAGCTCACTGCAGGTGGGTAGCCTGGCCCCCTGGCAGCCATCCCTGCAGCCTCCCAGGGCCAGCCCAGGTGGCGGCAGCCCCGCCCTGCACCTCACTGGAAGGAGACTAGGAAGGGGTGGGGCTAAGAGCCCATGTGATCCCAGCCCCCCAACAAGGAGCAGGAGGAGGCGGGGCTAGAGCAGCCCCACCCACTCCCAGTCCAAACAGATGGGGCAGCCATGTTCCCAGGCTTCCTCAGAAGTCCCACCAAACCCTGCATTAGACCTGCCCCCAACCCAGAGGGAACCCAGACCCCACCCCTTGCTCTAACCCCTCATCCCCACTCCCCTCCCAGAGCCAGGGAGAGAACCCAGGAGTCCTGCCTCCCAGCCCTTCCCCCACCCCTCCCCGCTCTAACCACTCACCCCCCACTCCCCTCCTACAGCCAGAGAGAGAACCCAAGAGTCCTGGCTTCCAGACCCTCTGCTCTAACCCACTAGACCCCACTTCCCTCCCAGAGCCAGGGAGAGAATCCAGGAGTCCTGGCTTCCAGACCCTCTGCTCTAACCCACTAGACCCCACTTCCCTCCCAGAGCCAGGGAGAGAACCCAGGAGTCCTGGTGAAAACCCCAAGCTCCGATCCGTAGCCAACACCCCACCCCACTCCCCAGCACAAGGGCACACGCCTGCCGAGTCACTCACCTGACTGACCTCGCTGTCCGTCGACCGCCCCCTCTTCTTGTCATCTTCCGAATTCTCCTGGAGGTGGGGAGGACAGTCAGTGCTCGCCCCGCCACTCCCCGTGGAGATTTGGGGGGGACCAGCCCTGCTGCGGGGCAGCCAGCACATGACACACTGATGTCTCCCTCGTGTTACTGGGGTCACTCTGCCAGTCGGCTCCGCCCTACCCATGGCACTGGAGGCCTGCTGTGGCCTCCCATTTCCCAGATCCAGGAGAGAACCCCGGTGTCTTGGCTCCCAGCCCCTCCCTACTAGGCAATGCTGCATTCCTTAAGGGACACCGACCCAGCACCCCTGCCGCTGGGTTACGCTGGCTGGCTGGGAGCCCCGGTCTGTCCCGTTTTGCACGGGGCTGGGCGACGGATCCCGCTGGGGCAGGACTCGGGCAGCAGGGCTCCTTACCGTCGTGCAGTTGGCAGGGCTGGGCGGAATGGGCGAGCTGGAGGTGGTGGAGGTGGGAGTGCTGCTGGACTGGTTGAAGATCTCGTCCTCCAGGTGGCTGTGGCTGGGCGGGGAGGTGGCTACCAGAGCCTGCGCTGGAAGGGGGCGGGGAGCAGAACGAGACGCAGTTAGGGCAGCCGGGCCAGGAGTCAGAGACGCCGGCATCCCGCCATGGGCCTGCGTCCGGTCTGCCCTGCTTTCCCGGGGAGACACCTGGAGATCTGTTCCAACAGAGTTCTCCCAGGCCGTGCACCCAGGGATCTGAGACCTCCCAGCTCTGGGCTTGTCTCCCTGCTCGCCCGGGGGGACGCTTTGGATGGAGGGCGATGTTCCAATTCCCTCTGTAAACTCCAATGGCCTGAACACACTTAGGAGAAAACTGCTCTGGGATAAAACCCCAACACCTCTAGCCAGGCCATTAACAGGCGCCCCTCCCCGGCTCCTCCCCACGTAATCCGGGAAGAGCCGAATCGGAACATTTCCGGGCGTTTCTAGAAAGATGCAAGGAAATGAAACAAGCCGTCGGTGGATTTGGGGCTCCCTTAAAGCCGCGCTTGGGGCAATTGGACCGGCGGGGGCTCCCAGGTTCTGCGGTCGCTGCTCGGAGGGGATCTCTCCTCTGATCGTAGCCCTGGCTCCAGGGGGAATCTGTGCCAGCGTTTCTGAGCAGCGGCTCTCCTCCCTGTGCCCCCTGTGATACGCAAGGTGTGCCCCCCCCAGCGATCGCGGGTGTGAAACTGACAAGCGATCGGGGGGCGGGAGGGGAACAAGACACGGAGAGCAGGAAGGCGGGAGCGAAATCAGCTGATGACACGCGGGTGGAGGGGGGCGGCATCACTCCAGAGGAGCGGCGCTTTCCAGAGGATGACCTGCAGGACCCGAGTCATAGAAACGGGATGAGATTTAACCATACAAACTGCACGGGGGCCCCCCCGAGAATTTCAGCTGTAAGCCAAGCGCTCGTCAGGGGCGGATCCCCCCAGATGC